ACAAATGATAGCATTGGGGGAGGATGTGGACAGCTTTCAATTTCCCAGCTCGATGTTAACTTTATCAATATAACTCTCTATAACTATTTGATCCCGCTGCCAAGATAAATGCAATTTGCAAAATGGTGTATGAAGATTTAAAAACATGATATATATATATACCCGTTGGGGTAGAGGTGTTGTTTCCGCCCTTTCTTCTTATTATTATTGTTACTAATAACAAACATCAAACATAAATGTAATACAAATCTATCATGTAATAAAAAACAACCGTATATGTATTACAACCATAAGTGTAATAATAAATGTAGTATGACCATATATGTAGTGAAAACAATCATAAATGTAAAAAAATCAACCATTTATATAATGAAATATGTAATACTAATAAAGTGTAAATGAAATAAAAACAGTAATACTTAGTGGATATCATAGTTGGATTTATGTATATAATGGTAAACTATTCTACATCTAGTAAGGGGATATATGTATGTATATGTATTTAAATCTTTAAGTTATATAATAAAAAAATATAATCAATGAGAAGATGTCGCCGATGATATGTCTCGACGCCAGCACATGTGATAAGTCAAGTCAAAGTATTTTTCTCAATCCCTAAAAATTGACAAAATCATTCCAATTTACAAAAAGAAATCTTTAACGCAAAAAAACTCAGTACGAATATTGTCAATTTCCTATATCTATTGCTTTTTAAACATCTTCCTGCTTTGCGTTGACACTTAATATGTAGGTTTATCTAGATGGACCACTATCGGATTCGTCCATTTTATGACGATATCATCCAAGCTCTGGGTTAAGCGAATAATACATCTTACGGAATGACTGGCGGAATGAGTTTCAGGGTTTTACAACTAACATTTTATGCATATCACGTTACATGTAGGTAGTCGCATGATCATATTTTGCTATTACTGATTTATACCATAGGGAAAATTGTGAACAATGTGCACAGCTATGCAACAGTTAGGGTATGTGAATACGATATTTTGTATGCACTGTTATATGTTCCATGATATTGAAAACATCATTCGAATACGTGTTTTGGCATTCCTATTCAAACCACACATTTTGCCGTACAAGTTAAATAGTTAAAATGAAGATACACTATTTTCCTATTTTAAATTCTGTAGCTTGGCAACCCGTGATTCAATTATACATGCGTGGTAAGTGTGGCGACTACATTTCGACAAGGCATGGCATTTTTGTACTAAGTGTGGCGTTTACAAGATTCGTCTGTATTACGTATATAACGTCTACAAGATTCATTTATACTAAGTGTGGGATTTACAGGATTCATTTGTACTAAGAGTGGCATCTTCTACTAGGTGTGGCGTTCGCACGATTCCTTTGTGCTAAGTGTGGAGTTTACAAAATACAATTGTACAATGCCTGGCGTCTACAGAATGCATTTGTAGTAAGTGTTGAGTTTACAATGTTCGTTTGTACTAGGAATGGCGTCTACACGACTAGTTGGTACTGAGTGTGGCGTTCACAAGATGCATGTGTACTAAGTGTGGCGTTTACTACACGATTCATTTGTATTATTTGTGGCCTTTACAAGATTCAATTGTACAAGGTGTGGCGTCTAAAAGGTGCATTTGTACTAAATATCACACACGACGCATTTTTATTTGTATTTTTATTTCAATATTGTATCATTAATACACTTATGTAATTATGTTATTGTTTCATCTGCTTTTATTTACCAACTTATCAAATGACGCTCTAATAAATAAATAACACATTTTAAAACTAGAAAATGTCCAATTAACAAATATAGGTCATTGACTTAGTAGGTCAGGTGTTGTAAATGCCCCTTCGCTTAATGTTCTAAAATATATAACGACCTGGGGTTGGACTGGGAGAGTTTTATTTGGTCTCCGTGTGTAGTTCCTGACGTTTACATGAGCCGCCTTTTGTGCTGTTGTATAATCGCCAAGGTATTTACATAATTTATATTTTCCATTTTCAATGTTTATATAAATACATATGACAAATGCGGCTGCAAACAATGTATGTATTAAATGTGTGTGAGACCATCTGTTTCGCGGGGCAGCTAGTATAATGTTCTCAGAGTTTATATCGGTGTATTATCAATATTTGCTGAATGCGGAAAGTTTACTTCGTGGGTCGTGTATAACCATTCAATTTATTTTGTTCTTGGTGATGAGCAAGACACATACACGAATGTTCGGTGTGGCCGTGCTACAATGTACCATCAAAATACAAATTATAATGTCTGAATTTTCATTACATTTGAATCTACACGTCGGTTTCACCGTGTACAATATACCGACCAGTGTACATTACACCGATACGTGTACATGGGAGTCAGTGTAACGTGTGTGGTACCAGGCGAGTGTATTGAGGCACTATGACAGTCATACAAAGGGTAATTCGACTGTCACGGTTCGGATTTTGAAATTTGACATTGAAAGGATCTGCTGAGATCTTTTCCTATCTAAGCTCGGCCAATTCTTACTATTCGTGGGCGTAACGAAGACGCGATATAAGATTCAGTTGTAGAACATGAATATGTCAAAGTGTATGTCCTACCGATTAAATTTAGTCTAACGTGGGGACTAAAATATACGATTTATGAACAAACAAGCAATTAATTAATTAATTAATTAATTAATTAATTAATTAATTAAACACCATTAAAAGGCGGTAGTCTTCGTGCCGCGCATGATATGGGTCCCATATAAACAAAGATGGCGATTTTGACTGTTGCGCACTCCAACTAGTACACACTGAGAGGTTACCAAGCTTAATTAGTTTTTTTCTAGTTGTTTGGAAGGTATCAAAGGAGTCGCCGGTGGTAACTATTGCAAAAGGCGCACTTTCATTGGAAAAGCGCATGGGATTTCGGGAAAATCAATGTTTACCAACACAAATGTCGCACATGCGTGGCGCGACGACTACCAGTTAGACAACAACGTCGTAGTCCCATTAATGGGAGGGTAATATCCAGATCTCGAGAATAACAAATGTCTGCCGTAGTACTCACTACCTTCCATGGATACTGCAATTGTGTGGTATTTGATAGTACGTGCTTCTCACGGTCCCTAACGAATAATTTTCATCTTAACCCGGATAGAGTTGGCTGAACTTCTCGTCTATCAATTGGGATGAATCATATAATCACAGCTTAGGGTATTACATGTATCTATTCCAGAAACTACATAGTATAGATTTATTTCTAGGCTTGTGAATACCAGCCATAATTTTATCTTGTGAGTCGGGAATGCTTCTCCCTTTAACACCTGTTTTCTACCATTTGCGTATTTAAAGTGTAAAAAACATGTTAAAAGATTAAATGTACACTCTATTATCTTAAGAGATAAACACATTTTTTAAAGAATTTTTTTTATTGCCACAGAAACAAATAAACAAACATATAGGTATCTTTACAAAATCGGTAAATATACACTAATAATTCGCCATAACAATGTCACGGTCATGGTCACACACACATGTATTTGAGTACGAGAGAAATAAAACCATGGACCCTAGGGTAAACGTAAACTAGATAGTTTCGATTGGTGCGGATCAATATACGCATTGTATTCGTACGTTGGGACACAGCTGTAGGCGTCACTAGGGCACGATGACTCACAGTGTTTACAATAATAATGGAATATAAACAACGTAGTACTTTAGTCGCCATTCGCGGGTAACAATAGAAGTTTATTTATTGGGGGCTGTGACGATATATTGTATCTTTATCCTTCATTACAGGCAAATTAATATGATTAGTATTGTCATAGAATAATAAACTGCACGCTTCTAAACCAATCGCTCTCACAATAGGGTTCTGATTATGTTTTCCAAATACTATTTATAATGGTGATTAAAATAAATAAATTAATAAACAAACAGTATTTCTGTATCGGAAGCAATCCATCTCCGCACATTTAAACTGGTAGCATAACAGCGACTCGCGCTGACTAGAAGTAACGACGTTGTGACAATACACTTAAAATATAGAGATCGATATATACTTATCAAAGTGGCAGTGATAGTCCACACGAATGAGTGATTGTCGACCGCAATCAATTCGAGCTTACAATTTGACAAAAGAAATCAAATAAAAAAAAAGAAAACATTTTTTCCCCTACTTTTAGTGATATTGAATTTTAATTAAAAAGTCGATTATCGGATAATTGTGTACGCGTGCTTTAGCTTAACGGGAAGTGCAACGCTTTAATTTAAATCAGAGGTCGAAGAGCAAAATATTTAAAATCGGTTTGTTAACATTTATAATTTATCTTAGCAAGATTCTGACAGCACATGTCAATCACAACGAGGCAATATACTTAATAATCTATTACTACGTAAATGTAATATTGAAATAGTGTGTGCAATATAATAATGCAAATAAGCGATGATTAAACCTGTCATATCATCTCCAAGTATTATCTGTAATTTATGTTGCATTTAGAATAAATATCCTATAAGGCATTTACCAAGTGACCGACGAGCACATGTAATGCACATTTGGCCAAATTGAATATAGAAGTCAAGTTGTATGACAAAAAATTCTGAATACATTTCTTCAAAGTTGATTCATACGTCTGCACTCCAAGTCAAATACGTCGAATGCTGGCAAAAGTTGTATCGTTCGCGTCTCTCGGTCCGTGCTGTAATTAGCATTTCGACCACTCACTGTTTGACCTTCAATTAGGAAGTTCAAATGTATCAACGATGATGTTTGTTATAGTTGAATGGGTGATTTCTTAAAGTTCAAAAATATAATTGGCAGTTTATACCCTTGGCATCGGTGGTGAATGTTGTGTAGGTTATTGTCTCTTTAGATATGCCATATGACACGCCGGTGCCAATCTTCGCTAGGAAATATGTCAAGCCGGCGAATTGTAAACTTCGCCCACAGTCCCTCTGAGCATGGAAGGTAACTTCCATGCTCTGAGCATGGAGCTAAGCTCTTTTTTAGCTCCATGCTCTGAGGGACTGTGCTTTCAGACGGAGTTATCAGATAAACGACCGATATCATCGAGATTGACTTCCAGTGTTATCTCCTTCTTCAGCTTCAGTGCATTTGTTTTGTCGCCGTTTGGCGTCACATACGTACGAGACATGTCAGAATATCGTCGACTAGACGTGGCCATCCAGCTTGGTCGTCGTTTAGGTGGCATCTTACGGCAACCAAACGCCTGTAAAAAAGCCCTTCTATACAGCTCGCACGTCAAATTATAGATCATTGGGTTGACAGCTGAGTTAATCATCAAGACGAGGTTGAACAGATCGTTCCAGCATATCATTGCATCATAGAAGTCGGCGTCATTGGTGAAAAGATAGTGGAAGTAGGCCATCAGGAATATGGTTCGCGGAAATAGACATATGAAGAAAACGGCAGCAGTCACGATACAGAGTCGTACAACCTGTGCTCTATCTTTGATGATTTTCTTAGAATGATCGTGGCGTTCAGTAGATAAGTTCAGTTGACGGACGATTAGCGAGTAGAAGACTACGACAATAATGATAGATGAGCAGTAGATAATGCCCATGACAATGGCCGAGGACCAATTGGTGGCAGTTTCGTTGTACGAATGTGTGGGGAAGTAACAGTACAAATTGTAAGAGAATCCATGTGCAAAACCGATGACCCATAACGATACAATCAAAGGTACGATTCGGTTGGCGTTGCCTAGGCCACGAGTTTTGTAAAACATTGGCTTGCATATTCCAATGTACCTCTCGATACTTATGGTCACCAGCGTTAATATAGATGTTGTGTACACGGAAGTAGTGAAGGTACCTTTAACGCAGATTACTCTCTTCCACGATGGCTCGGTGTTTGGTAACCAATTTGGTCTTAGTGTTGTGTGGGCCGTCAGATAAATTAGATCGGAGACGCATAGCGACACGAGTAGATAGTTAGTCGCGTTTTGCAGAGACTTAATACGAGCCGTCACGAAAAGAAAAGCTATATTTCCAAGTATTCCAAAGGTGCCAATAATGACCGAAATCACATCGACGGTGAAAGCGTTCACGAAGTTGTCGCAGCCGTCACTCCACGTTATATTGGTGGAGACAGTTGTATTCTGCGCCGCCATGATTGTAAAACGTAAATCTTATGATCGGTATCTGTGTATGACTTCGCCTATAGCCACAGGTCCAGGAAACCACTAACGACCGTTCTTCTAAACTGGCAGTAAACAATTCATTAGAGCAGCAATAAATTATGAACAGTCAGCTACTATTAATGACAGATTTTAACAACTTCGAATGGAACGAAGCTGAAAGCTCCTGGAGAATGTGATTCAACAGTCGGAGTAGACTGACACTTTTCGAAGACTGGTAAAGTTGCTACTTACAGGCGTTGCACGGTATGTGCGGCCAGTTATCGATGTATACGCGGATCAAACACTTGTCCGGTCTTCTGTGGTGCGTTGCTAAGATGTGACGATATAAAGACTTACACCACCCTCAGCAGACGAATGTACCGTTTCCTGTCGCAAATCAGTGTACACAGTAAGTGTACTTGTACTTGACAACGTCCACAGCGTCACTTGTCAATTAAGGAACTTTACGACGTACAGTAGTGACTGCGCAGAGTGTATACTGACTAGTTATCGCCATGCAGTCTCTGGCAGTAATGAACCGAAGTGATAGCCGGCAGTTTTATCGTCAAAGGGTTAGGTTGGCCGCCCTCTATTGGCATACACACGAGAAACGTATTAATCATATTTAATTCGAAATGGGATATACGTCAGGCAACTGTTGCTCTTACAAAACAAGTAGAAATGTATATTATAATATAAATATGTATAGTTCGCATCAAAGGCGCCATCTACAGCCTATCGCAGGTACGCAACACATGACAGTGAACCAATTAACGTATTTTATATATAAGCGCACAACGAAAGTCATGCGAATTATGCGATGCAATTAAATCGTCGACTTTACAAATGATAATGTAACACGCACGACAACAACCACTAAGTTCCGTCAGCATCCGCATGGCCTATTGACATGTTAATTTATGTTCCGATTCCCATCAATGTATTCAGGCTAGCCATTCAACCAATGTCCTTTTGATTAAACAAGTCAAACTGTGCTTTTTTTAGCTCCATGGGACAACCATCGCGGGGAATTCATTGTGAGTGCTTTTTTCACGTCTGAGTTGAATATCAGCATGTGTGTATTTGATCTGACCATGGTGCTTCATGGTCTGACCCCAGTGTATAGTACTCACATCGTGCTGCTTTCGTTTCGTCACTTACTCGGCTTACTCATGGTATTTCAGAACCCACGTACACATTGAACAAAGACATAATCGTACACTGCAAACTCTTCTATTGTGCGTCCCACAATGGTCACAACTGGTAGTCGCAACAATGTTTGTACTACACTATGTACATTGAAATACAATGTCTGTGACATGCGTAATTAGAATACCGAGCAGCCAAGCTTTACGGCCCGGTTCGCCCACGTCTGGACATGCTTTTAGCTGTATTTATTGGCCTGTAATCTCGCAGGCATGTGCCCTGATCCTTCCCACAAAGATAGCATTTGCAGTTACAATGCATTTCAACTGTAATTGTGAATGGATATGTTCTCCAGCGCATCTAACCTGTGAGCACATACTACAGAAAATAGAGTGACGATGACTACACGTCGGAGAGTTGTCCCATTATAACATAACACGCACACGGTCTACTCATTGCAGCGAGTAGTAATGGCAATAACGTGTTTTCACACTTTTATGTGAATCTCCGTAACGACATTATTAGTTCCCGTAATTACGTCAAGATTTGTCTCAGAGGTCGGGTCACTAGTCATTCACGTCTATATGCAAAGCACAATCTGTAATAAACAGATGTGTTGAAATCACACAGTTGATGGATGGTAAAGTTGGAAACAATTGTGAAGACCAAATTTAATATAAAATTTCCAAAAAAAAAATCCACATTTGAGAAAGTAACATCATCCTAGTATAAATTGAGTGAAAAAATACACTTCCTAAAATTCAAGATTGCGATTCATTGCCACTGTAATCGGCAATAGATATAATTGCCAGCGTAGGTAATATTATACATTCATGTCTCTGGCAGTCAAAACATTATCATACAATTCAAGAAAATATAATATAGAATTCTATTGACAAAATAAAGTATAGGAATTGGCGATCCGATGTGATCTTGAACCTGAATTTGAATACATTCATAGTAGAAGTTCTTTCAATTTTACTGAACTTCGCAGTCAAGTTATCTGCGCAAAACTGTTCACAATAGCTTCGTCACCCGTCTCTACCAACTTGCCAGTCCAGCCCGTTTAAATAAGATATCTGTTAAATATCTAAAATATCTGTTAGAATAAACACTCGTTGTGACTGGAAGAGAGCGTTAAAGCGTTAAAACTGTCATAATGTGAGGCAGCGGCAAACAATAAAATATATCACAATACTAGCATGATTAACCACAGTGTGTCGATTCATTTACCATGAAACAAGTTATACGAGTTCCAACGACACCCAGGGCTACACCATTAAATATACTCGAGCAATAACAAAAACGGTATAAAATAATATGGCTTTTAACAAAAACACGTACTTGATACTAGTTAATTTACAAGCAGTTTCAGTTCCTATACCCATACAATAGTGCTTTATATGCGTAACAAATACAGTTGCCTTTTGATTGGATATTAAAAGTCAGTCAATTTGCAGAGCTCGTGCGTGCTCTTAGACCACATATAATTATTTTTTTGTTTTAACTTGATTTTATACTGATTTAGAAGCTACGGGAGATCGTTTGTGGGTAACTTGCTACCATGACAACCAACCATCGCACGTCTCCAGTGTTAACGTGAATTCGAAACTAGTTAATGTAGCAATACTAGTTGTCGTGGTTACACAGTCGAATAAGACTGTTGGATACACTGTTTGAGAATATATTGCCGCCATTAACTTACAACAGTTGAATCCTGATATTGTTCAGATCGGTTTTCTCGCAGAAACCATTTGATGACTCGGAATGGTATCTAACAGGTGCCACATGTGGAGCAAGAAGTTTTACTCACCTGACATTTACTAGTGTAATTCTCTTACTGATTTGACTTTATAGTGATGTTTACCTGTCAGTTGCTTTGTTTTGTTTTGTTCATGTCAATTGTTGTCAGTTTTTTTTAATGTTTTAGTTTGTCAAATATGACATTCGCTTAAAAATCTACGCTTGGATATGTTATTTCCACTTTTCCATAACTTAATTTGGATCTGCGGATTATGTGACATGTTTGATAGTATGAATATGCGCGAATTACGAGAAATATTTGTGGGTTGCAGCAATTCGAAAACGAACCATACGAATCTCTGTGCGTTTGTACATATTCAAATGCTATAGATTGGCTAATATTTCCCAATATTCGCACAGGCCATCAATATTACATATAACAGATACAACATAAGCACGTGACTATTCCTTCTATACAGGGATGAACTATTGAATTATTCAGAACGTCGACTCGATTCATTTCTCAATTATGAATATCAACTATTATTTATTCGAAATGTAACAATCTACTATGTGAAAAAAAATCGTACATGCTTGTAAGAGAGCTCAGGGGGTCTGAGTAAAAGCGAGTAAGATGATCTGCACTTCCCGTATTGAAATACGTATTTACGTTTACAGCAAATCGCGTAATGCACCATTATATATCAAATGCAATGACATCATTGATGCCTGTGTTAAAAATGATGTCTACATTCATCTTTATTGCCATAACACTATCATGGGTTACACCATAAACAAACGAAACTGATGAATGACGTCATTATATACATTCTAGTCCCTAGCGTAATGTTGGGGGAAATGAAATGAAATGAAATGGTTATTTGGACTGCAATGCTGTAATGATAAAATAATATTCGCGTGAAAAACAAATTTGGTAGTACTGCCATTTCAGTCGCAAAACACTTATTAAATCAAGTGAATCATAACTTTAACCAACTCCCATTACAATATATTCAAAGATGAATAAAAAAAAAATAATAAAAATTAGTTTATCAACCCCCCCCCTCCCGTTATTGGGAAACTATTCATTGCCAGATCGTGTACCATAAAACAAGATATAATTAACAATTCAACAATATACTGCACAAGTCTCATTGTAGTCTGAGCAATAAATTATGATTAATAAACTAGGAGGGATAAAGTATGCGTGTAATCGTCGACACGATTTGCCATCGTTATGGGTTTGGTAGAAAGCCAGAGTTGGCCAACTGTAATAGTCTGTGTAGGATGCAAAGCGGATGTAAGACTTCCATCGAATTAGTTTTCAGTTGTGTCTATAGGTGGTCTCGAACCATGCCGGCACTAAAAAGGGTAGCCCACAAGTACACTGTCCACTCCACTCCTACACTGTACGTTTATCTTCGTCATATAATAACTGGATTATTTATTTGTGTATTACTGTATCAAGAGGCAAGCAGACTGGTTCAATAAAGTCAGGGTAAACATCGTTCCGCGACCATTGGTGACTGTATCATGGGGGGGGGGGGTGTAAATTGCACTCGAATCATAATCAAATGATTTTACTATTTCGTGCATTTTCAAACTGTCTTGAAACACAGCGCTTTAGTTTAGGGAGTTTTGTATGCAAGCAGTTTGTTTTCGTTTGTTGGAGGCCATGGCATATTCAGAGTCGATCTAATCCGATTTAATCAGGTGTTGTACAGAAATCTACTTGCATTACTGTGTGTAAAGAACTAGCATCAATTACACTATATATGTAATGCATATTTCATCTTATAAATCATTAAAACAATGACAGACACCTTGTCACCATTCGATTATGATTTGGAACATACTGCGCACTTTTACGGAAATGTTAATTGTATTCGACAGATATTCCATCGGTAAATTAGGCCCATGTGTCATGACTAGATCATTATGTGTCAATTAGTCACGGTGTAAAAGATTAAAAGCAGTAAAGTGCCTATTTCTATTTATTTCTATTTAAAATTTAACATTGACGTTCTGTGGAGCTCTACGACTATTGTTTGGTGATAAGTGGGTCGATAGTCATTACGGTTTCCTCATCTCAATGAATACTA